GCCAGTATGACTGCTGTGTGGCAACCTGCCATCCTCCTCAGTACCCAGTCATCATGAGTGTGAAGGTCTGTGTTGGCCTGGTGACTGGGTCCTGGCTGTGTGGGCTAGTGAATCTGGTCACACACACGGTGCTGGCCATCACACTCACTCTGTGTGGGCCCCACGAGTTCAGCCATTTTCTCTGTGACACCCCATTGCTCCTGAAGCTCTCCTGCTCAGACACCTCTGTCAACGAATCCGTGCTCCACGTTGTCACTGCCAATATGGGCCTGAGCCCCTGCCTCTTCACTGCAGGCTCCTACACACTCATCATGGTGGCCATCCTGGGGATTCCCTCTGCCCAGGGCAGGAGAAAGGGCTTCTCCACCTGTGCATCCCCCCTCACTGTCGTGGTGGTCTTCTATGGAACAGCCAACTTCCACTATGACAGGCCCAGAGAAAGCTGGACACAGACACCCTGGTCTCTGTGCTCTTCTGTGTGGTGAGCCCCCTGTTGAGCCCCATCATTCACAGCCTGAGAAGCAAGGAGGTCCAGAGTGCCCTGAGGAAGCTGGCTGGAGGGTGTGCATTCCTTTGCATGATCAAAGTCTAGACCAATCTTCAAACTGGAGTATACAGTCATCTGAAAAAAATGCCTCCCAGTGACTTGTAGGCACCTGGTTTGAGAGTGTGTATCTGGAGCTTCAACTCCAACTCCCGCTTTTAAAATCTCTGAGACTCCTTTCTCTCCTCTCTTTTCACAAACACCCTTTTCCCACTTTAAGGTTCAATTGTGTCGGACACATTGTGTGGTGTTCAGCACCATCTCTGTCCTTCTGTGTTCTCCCCAGACCAGAAGGACAGAAAGAAGGAAAACCTCGTTTCCCACACTCCCCTTCCTACAGGCCTCCATTTTAGGAGGTTCTGTCAAGATCAGCCAAACACTAGGAAAAGAGGAAGAAAGGAAATAGAGAAAGCGGGTTCTTTTGGATCCCATAGCAGCAGAAGCAAACCAGCCCTGTAGAGGCAGGAACTATTTTACTTGGTGCCAGGAGCTGTGTGTGCAGGCTCCTAGACAGCTGTTCCTGAATGTGGGTCAAAGTAGCATGGAATGAGCGTCTCTTTCCAGGGAAGTTAGGGTTTCCATATGTGGGGTGGTGTCACCTGCCCTATTTTTTTTCCAGATCTCCCAACCATTTTATAATTTTTTTCTGTGTCAACTTCCTCTACCCTAAGACATCAAGAGCTGTTCTTCATCTCTACCTGACCATGGTGGCACTGACAACAATAGTGGTTTCATCAGAGATGGTTCTAGATAACAGATCTGAGAGACCCTGGTCTCTGTGCTCTTCTGTGTGGT